TACCAAAAAAAAAAAATTGACCAAAAGGGCACTTGGGGTCAAGGAGCAAAAGGGGCAGGTGCTCAAGCACCCCAGCCCCCCCGCACGTGTCTGAGCAAGTTCCATGGAAGTAGTCAGTATGAAAACATGGAGAATGGAGAATCCATTATACCTCCACCATTCCGCCGTCCTCCGCCTTCAGTCCCAACACTACGTTCAGTAAGGTCCAGACCAGCAGCAGCATTGTCCTGGTTCCCCAAGCCGCGCTGGCTGCGTCCAGGATGCTGCTGCTGCTCCTGAGAGTACACGCAGCCTCTGTGCAATGTCACAGCTGGAAGAACAGTGTGTGTGCGCGCGCACACACACACACACACACACACACACACACACACAGCTGACTCTGACGTCATCTTCTGGCTGTAAGCATAACCCTTTAATGACCGGCCTGCATGCTGTTTGAAACTACAAATACGATCTAAAAGCTGCTGAAGTCTGAATTAAAATGAACTCAACTCTTTCAGGTAATAATCTGGAAAACGGTTAATATTAAGCCTAAAATTATTTCCAGTTCTAAACATCTAATACTGCAATGAGCTTTAAATGGAAAAAAAGAAAGAAAAAAAACGAGAGGTAAAAGAAGCAATAGCTCCCTATATTCTGGGGGTGGGGGGAAAGCGATATGAAACTCCAGATTCTTAAGATTAAGATTCACATAAAACGTGTTATATTCGGAGACGAAAAATATAGAACTTTTAGCTGTTCTATCAGTGTCTGTCCAGCAGGGGGCAGAGTTAACCTTCTTTGTTTTCTGGGCTTCACACTTTCAAATCCTTCTCTGGCTGTATCTCGATTCCCCACTGCTTAAATATTTCTATATTAGAAATTAAAGATACACATTCTGTGACTATACTGCACTAAACCAAAGTCATTTAACCACAAAATTTATTTAATTACTTATAAAAGCCTTAAACGTGAATTAATTGAATCATACCAAGGCAATTCAGTTTAAACATTTTTATTAAAAGTTTGAAAATGGTATCTAACAGACTCAAACTGAATGAAGTACTTGACCTATTTCTTGTTGCGTCATCGTCTTCAGCGTCATCTCAATTATATCCAGTTCTTTAAAGTAAAATAACCGTGGCGGATGTGTTGATTCTGGTGGATTGAAAGTGAAGCTGAGGTCATGGAGAAGTGAAACATCTTATGGTGATGTGACTGAGTCTGACTCTTCAGATTCAGTCCCCGGATTCTGACCGGAGCGCATCTCTCTGCTTGAGTTCCATCTGAAACACGGATAGGATGGACCCGGACACGGACAGGGCGTGCTGAGGGTGACTCCTTTTCTTTCTTTCTTTCTTTCTTTCTTTCTTTCTTTCTTTCTTTCTTTCTTTCTTTCTTTCTTTCTTTCCTTCCTTCCATGGGGACGTTTTTAAATAAAAGTAAAATCCTGGAACACCGAGGCCACCTGAGCCAGCCGCAGGTGGAGGCGGCCGGAGACGACGTACGTGGACCGGACCGGGTCCTTGGCGTCCGCGCGCTTACCGGCTGCGTCCTGTTCGTCCTGATCGTCTCCACTCTGCTGGGCAACACGCTGGTCTGCGCCGCCGTCGTTAAGTTCCGCCACCTGCGCTCCAAAGTCACCAACTCCTTCGTGGTGTCGCTGGCGGTCTCCGACCTGTTCGTGGCAGTGCTGGTGATGCCGTGGCGCGCGGTCTCCGAGGTGGCCGGCGTCTGGCTCTTCGGGCGCTTCTGCGACACCTGGGTGGCTTTCGACATCATGTGCTCCACCGCATCCATCCTCAACCTGTGCATCATCAGCATGGACCGCTACTGGGCCATCTCCAGCCCGTTCAGGTACGAGCGCAGGATGACGCGCAGGTTCGCCTTCCTGATGATCGGCGTCGCCTGGACGCTCTCCATCCTCATCTCGTTTATCCCGGTGCAGCTCAGCTGGCACCGCGCGGATAACTCCAGCCGCACCGGCCCGGGCGACTGCAACGCCAGCCTGAACCGGACCTACGCCATCTCCTCCTCGCTCATCAGCTTCTACATCCCCGTGGTCATCATGGTGGGCACGTACACGCGGATCTTCCGCATCGCGCAGACCCAGATAAGACGCATTTCCTCTTTGGAGAAGGCTCCAGAAGCCCGCGCGCAGACGCAGCGGCTCTCCACCACGACGCACACCGAAAGCACGCTGAAAACGACCTTTAAGCGGGAAACCAAGGTTCTAAAGACGCTGTCCATCATCATGGGGGTGTTTGTGTTTTGCTGGCTGCCGTTTTTTGTCCTGAATTGCGTGGTGCCGTTCTGCAACGCGGACCAGCCCGGAGCCGCGCCGTGCGTAAGCGACACCACCTTCAGCATCTTCGTGTGGTTCGGCTGGGCCAACTCGTCTTTGAACCCGGTGATTTACGCGTTCAACGCGGACTTCCGGAAGGCCTTCTCCACCATCCTGGGCTGCAACCGATGCTGCTCCGCCTCGGCGGTGGAGACGGTGGACTTCAGCAACGAGCTGGTCTCCTATCACCACGACACCACGCTGCAGAAAGAGCAGGTGACGACGGGGCCCGGGCCGCAGAGACTCGTCCCGGCGCGCACGGCCGGGGAGCTTCAGCAGAACTTCGACAAACTTTCCGAAGATCACCGGAACCAGCGGAATCTGCTGCTCCCCGCCCTCCTGCAGTTTGAGTGCGAGCCAGAGATCTCTTTGGACATGATGCCATTTAACTCCTCAGAGCACAACGACTGCTGTGTTATTCCCGGTCAGATCCAGGACCTCTGAGGGTTTTTCAAAAACCAGGCCGAGATGAACTGATACCTGGAAATATATCAGATTATTTTAGAAGATGTATCACCTTAAATTATTGTCCCCCCTTTTTAAAAAATTTATCTGGCTCGTCTGCAAAGCCATGTGAATACATCTCAATCAGATAGAATATGAAAAATAATTATTTGTTTTAATTATTAGATTCAATAATGAATCTCATAAACTGACCCTTACACACAGAATGAAATATTTCAGGTGTTTCTTGTCATGATTGTGACCCACACACACATGGCCTTGACAGTGAAGGATGGTAAGCCACCAAAGTCACAAATCAACACTCAAAATGGATATATTACACACTGGAATTCAAAGTTTGTGTGAAACTTCGGTTACTTTTGATGATCATAGCATCGCCTTGACATCCTCTCTCAATTTTTTTTATGCTCAAATTTCACACTGCCTCTTCAAAAACCTTCTTGTAACAACTTTCTTATGACTTTCTCTCTCTGAACGAGACTCAGAAAGTCTGCCATTGAACAAACTACTGACAACTACTACTACTTTCTTAAATTGGACACCCCCAACGCTTCATTCTTTTATTAAATTTATAATAATGACACAGCAGCTTATGTATTTTAATGCCAACTGTAAATAATTTTATATCTACAATCTTATTGTTGCCAATTGAAAGCGAACCCCGCAAAAAAATTAGTTTTATGCCAACAGATTAATGCACAACTCCCCCCGAGAGGCTGTCTGGGTAATTGATGCTTTTCCAACTTATATCTCGTTGTTTGATGTGAGTGTCGCCGTCTTTGATATGTTAAAGACGTCTCATAGATGGAAGGATAATTGGCAGCAATTATGTCATTAATTTCTAAGGCTGATTGCCTCTTCATAATTGTCGGGGCTTCGGGTCGGCCATCTCATGCCTGAGAAATTAGAATGAAGCACATCTGTGGTTTTGGCTTTAACTCAGAATCTGAATTTTTCATTGTTTTTGTTCTCTACATCCTCCATTTCTCATGTAAATCTATAAACAATTTCGCTTTCCAGAAGGGGTACTTTTGCGGAAAGTAAAATGGACTCTCCACACCATCGGCTTTGTTGCTGAAAGGACGCAGTGGCCGAGTCGAAGTCCCAATTACTTTAATTTGTACAGAAACAAAAACTCTTTAATAAAACACACTCTTAGCCAAAGGGGTTTATCAAAGAAAGAAAATGAAACAGGAAAAAAGTGAAAATGCCAGAAAGTATCCGTGTGTACGGCCACATTTAAAACTAGATTAATAAATGAAACAGTTGTAATTGAGAGAGAGACGGAAACGCTAAGAAAGCTTGTGAGACCCGCTTTGCTGAATTCTTTCCAATGCAGAAAAAAGTTGAACTTGTTTGATCAATTAAGGAATAATATTAGATTGATTTTAATTCAGAAAAAAGTCGAAACATACAGGAAAGATAAAAAAAATACTTCCTTATCTACATTTTTGTTTATTTCAATTGGTTCAGGGGAAAAAAGGGAACCTGGAAGTTAGTTAACCTCGACTCCTTTCATCTGCCTCACATGTTCCATTGTGAACGTCAGAATACAAGATACAGAGAGCTGGAACCATTAAACACAGGAGCAACAAAAAAGGCCTTACAGTCGAGGTGTCTCTGGATGCCATTGTCAGTGCTGCACTCAGAGGCTGTGTGCACTGGTCCAAGACTCCACACTGGGGCAATGATCTCTGGTCTGAACAGAGAGCAGGTGCGAGTACTGTTTGAAGCTTTTGTCCCTGTTGGCTAGAAATAAACCACACACACACACACATACAGGAGGTCTTGCTGCTGCTTCCATGTTCAGCAGAAGAAAGCCGGCATTGTTTCGACATGAGTCAACTGTCCCGGTACTTTTTGCTTCTTTGACAGCTGAGATAGTCTAATGTTCCCCAAAAAGTTTACATTGTATAGTTGGGTTTGAAACGTGTTTATTTCAACTGAAATTAAGCTTAATATGCTTAACAGTGATCAAGGCCCATATTCCAAAATACTAAAAGAAGCTCCTAATGATAAAATTGTTTCACAAAGCAACTTAAGAGGTCCTAAATTGACAAGATGACACTTGTGAAATGGATAGAGCTCTGCCAATAGCAGGCACTCAGATTCAATTTTGTGGTTTGGGATCGAATCCAGTCTAGATTGGTTTATTATACAAGTTTGTGGAGTTTCTTGTTCTTTTTTTTTCTAATTATGGAAGATAGAGTCATAGACTAACATGCGGAGTATACGAATAAAATAGAAATGAATTAAGTGAACCCAGTTCTTATACAAAGAGAACTGTGTCTCCTCGCCATGCATTGTAGAAACGTTTCTAAGTTTCACATCATGTTAAACTGGTGATGCACAAAAACAGCAACCAACGAGAGGGAGCTGTTCACTTTGGTGTTGGAAAGCCAAGTGGGAATTAAAAGATCTCAGAAAACACTGGTTTAATAGCCAGGAGAAACACAACAATGGGCAAGAGTTTTAAACCGACTGAGATTTCTTTTGTTTTTTACTTTCTCATATAAGCAGCAAGTTTTTTGATCTAGATCAAAGGATACCTGGAGGCCTTTTTTTGTAAGCATATTGTTCACTGTGAGCTTAAAATGTAGAAGACAGAAAAATAAACTTCAATAATCTAACATTCAACCAGGCTCATCCACAGTACAGTACATTTTCATGAATATATATATATATATATGTGTGTGTGTGTGTGTGAAATTCATTTAAGATAAACCTAATGCTACAACCTAACATTTTGCTACAATAGCTTATATAGCTTATACTTATAGCGTATGTTTCTTAGATGCAAATCTTAAGAAAAAATAATGAAAACTGTTTCAATGAAAATGTCAGATTTCAATCACGGGACCAAACAGATTGAGCCAAACCTTCAGCAGTGAACAGTCTCAGTAAATCAGGGTTGGGTTTCCTCTCTCTGCTTTTTTCAAAGTTTGTTAGGAAGCTGGGAATAATAGTGGATTCAGGTGGCCACAGAAGGGTGTGTCCATTTTGTTTTCTACAAAAATGTATTAGAATGCTGTAAAAGTTATGGCTGCATTTCCACAACCAGAACTTTTGTTTTATTTGCAGAGGGATTGATTTCACCACCACCTTGACTCAAATGTGGACTCACCTTTCTGTCCAAGGCAAATCACCTATAAAAGCCTCAGAAAACACATGCTGAACAGTGATGTGCTTTATGAGTTCATTGTTCAAGTTTAGCCGTAATCATTTGGAAAGAGACATCTTAACTCCTCCAGATCCAGTTGTTGAGCAAACTGAAGAACCGACGAGTCCATCTGCAGCTCCTCTTGATCTCTGCCGCCATCAGCTTTAAGGACGGCCTCCGCACATCGTGGAATATCTCTGATTGCTTGAGTGGACGTTTATTTATGCTGCAGCATCAAGAAGCTCTTCGGATCGGTTTCAGCGTGAATTCATGCATGTTCAAATTCTGTCTGCGTATTTGTTCAACCAAGTAAGAAATACCACATTTCTTTGGAGAAGGGCGTGTGGAAACTGGGTTCATTCTCTATGCTGTGCAAGTGTGCTTGAGGTCAAACTATCTACACTGCGTCTTATGAGACATTGTCCAGAAGCACCGACCTTAACTGAAGACTGCAATCTTTGATATTCTTGGGTCTTTTTACAGAAGAATGCTCTCTGGAGTAATTTGGTTGGTCAGCCACTCCTGGGAGGGTTTCTCAGAGTTCCTCATTTCCTACATTTTTGGATGGCCATTTCTGTTAAATGTTCCAAATCCTGAAAACAGGTTCAATGAGTTGCTAGAATACAATTCCATTTCTGTAATACGAGCAGACCTCCACCTCCCCCCAATGGGAAGTCTGCAATTTTAATATGCCAGCTTTTGTTCAAAACTGATTTTAAGGATATTGGCGACATCTAAACTTCCACACAAACATTAGAGAGGGCTAAAGTTTAGGATAAACTTCCAAACCAATTTAAATGTTACCTGGTGAAAAGACTGAAATCGCAAGAAATTTAGAAAAATGTGGTCCATGGATAAAAGTTGAAGGAAATCAGTTTACCAAGTTTCAGTTTTAAAAGTACTCCACATCACCACTTATCTTGATACCAAGATTTAGTCAAATCCAAGACAAGGGTGATTTAGCCAGTGCTTTATTGAGCGACGCATCACAGCAAGGATGCCAATCACCAGGAGCTAATCATCCAGCCAGTTTCACCTGAAGGAAAGAAAACTATTAATATCAGAGCAGGCTGTTGAACATTTCAGACAGTAATTACCTCACTGGCCCATCTGGTGTCCTTTAGACCCATTCCCTGGGTTCCAGGTACAGGAATGTGATCAGATGCATCCTGGGTGTATTTGGAGTCGGTGCGGAAGTCTCTTGCTCGCTTGTAGCCTCTGCCGGTGTGGACAACGAGGGATGAAGGGTACACCATTCCGAGAGGAACATGGCGAGCGCTCCAGTGACCCTGCAGGACAGGAGGACTACCGTCGGGACTCAGGCCCAGCAGGGTGGCCACCATTTCGGCAATCTCTGCTTCTTGGGTGGCTGAGTAGTCAGCACCGACACCAGAGAAGCTAGTGGAAGAACCAGAGCCAACACCGCCATCTGATCCAACTCCAAAACTGGAGACGCCTCCAGAACAGCCCCTTCTATACCCAGAACCTCTGGCATATTAGCCTTCACTGGTTTGACCTTAAAGAGTGAAGCATCAAGTTAGAAAATACTAGCAATTTAGAGCCCATCTTAATATGCTTGAGTCAGTAAGAGCCATGCTTTGTAATCCTTAAAGCATGCAGCTTTCTGGCTGTACCTTTGCACCAAAGACACCCAAAACAAGTCACCGATTCTTTTTTCTGCCCCCACCCCAGCATAGAGCAATGTTCAGCTAGGCAAACAATATAAGACACAACTAAGATTTTGACTTGGTACCTTAGGGAGCCAATAGTTTAAGCACATATACTTGCTTTTTTGCACAGGCACACAGGATCCAATGGTGAAGAGCAGCAAACAAATCCAAGAACACCTGTACAGACAAATTTTTTATTTATTGTTTTTAGTAAAGTCAAAAAATAGCTAGAATGGAGAGCAGGGGGGTAGAAAGAAAACCCCTAAGCCCCCAAACTCACTTGAAAACTCCCTGAAGCACCATGCTGTCCTCTGAGTCCACGTCACACCTGTACCAGGCAGAACGCCTGTGGAGACAAAGCTTCGTGATGTGAAGGGTTTGTGGCTGCAACTGGCTTTATATTGACGGCTCAGCTTGTTCTAATTAAACTCATCGTGTTCACCTGGAGCCCTGCAGTAGGTAGATGTTAGTATGCAGACAAATCAAGAAATTATGGAAAACCAGGCGGGATAATGAGACAGAGGGAGACACAAAATACAGCTGATGTTATAAGAGTTAGTGGATCAGTAGGAGGGAGGAGATTGTTATAAACAGAATCAGAACTGGTCACAGTGTTTTTAATGGCTCTCCTTTTTAAGATGGAGAAACATCTTATTGGTTTATGTAATCGGTTCAGTACTACAGAAACAATAGAACACGTTTTTATTATTTGCAGGAAATATGTGAATCAAAGAAAAACATTGAGTGTGGAAATTGGATTGTAACAGGGAACTGAAGTTTGAAAATGTGTCTGCTAGGTTGAAAAATATCGTAGCGAAGGGAAAGACATTTGGTTCTTTGAGAAATATTAAAAGAATTTGAGGAAAGAAAATAATGTGAAGTAAAATTCAGGAGAGAGCATTAGTGCAGCACTGACGGAAGAAGAAAGACTTTGTAACCTTTTCAAACTGAGTTTGTACCACTTCAGAAAATCAAGGTTTTTGTTTTAAAAGAACAACATGGAGCCACATGCTGCGAGAATTAGTTTCTTAGAAGTGGAGCTTCAGTGTTGGCTCAGATAACGCTACTAATGCTACACTCTTATTTTGCAGGCTGATAGTTGATTTGACTCTTCATGTTTTTTTTTGTTTTTGTTTTTTTACCCCAGGGAGTTGAAAGTTTCCTACATAAATGATCAGATCAACTTTTCCATCATGTCCAAACTACATGCTTGTTTTGAGAGGCAGAGGTCAATTATAGATTTGCTGCACTTAAAGTCTGCAAAGTTACTGTTAAAAAAAAAGTTTAATTTTTGCTCCTTTACTATATTCTGTTTATGTCATTTACTCTCTTGAAGGAAATATCAAGATGTGCTGTAACACCAGCCGAATGACCACTACCAGGTCAGGAGCCAATGCATTAGTTGATACTAATACCAACTAATGCATTCATTTTTCTTGCTTGTTTTTTCTTTTCTTTCTTTTTTTAAAAAAAATCTTTTTCCTTCAGTAGTACAGCAGAACTAAAACCTAAGTGGGGGGAAAAAAACCTACCAGAGAACATTATTGCCAGGCCTGGAGGAGCACAATGCTGCTTACAGTACAGGCTGTTTGGACGAGTCAGTGGATGAGATTCAGCTACAAGCAAAGACATCTCTGACAGTGATAATTCTTTAAATTAAATCCTTTAAATGTCAAATGATGCAATTAATAAGATTTAATGGCTTTATTATTCATGATCAAGTAGGTTTTGCAGATATATATTGTTGGTTTTTTTTTAATAAAGAGGTATAACATTCTCAGGCTTGTGGGCTGATGTGCACAAGAGAACTGAGATCTGTTGACCCCAGTGCCTATCAAGTTATAATATTTATTTCTATGTGCAAACGGTAGGATTGTCTTGAAGCAAAATGAGGTTTTTCAAAATGCATTTTGATGTTTCATAAAACACATGACTTTAGTTCAAGTTGTTTTATTCAATTGCAGAATTAATCCATTAATGCATCCTTAATCTGCTACATTGTTCGCTATGTTTGTCAAAGCATTTCACTGTTTTCAGTTGTTGACTTTTAACTCAAACATTTTCAAAAACCAAGTGTCATTTCCTTGTTTTTTATATGCTCTTAACATTGGGGATGGTTAAGCCTGATGCAGCATTTAAGCTATATTCTGAATATCCTCACATATAAAAATGGGCAGAATAAATAATCTAAAGCTCATGTAATAGTTGAGATGCAAACTACATAAACCAATTCAAAAAAGGTTAGCAAATATGGGAAGTAGACTTTGGAGCTGGAGTTAAAGAATAAGATGCAAAATAATTTTAGATTTAAACAAGACCATTCAACAGCAAGCTCAAGAAGTTAGCATTGCAGTATACCAACTCCACCTGTAGGTGGCAGCAGAGTACAGCTGTAGAAATAGATAACGTGGAGGCTGAAACTACATTTATTAAGAGATTCACAAGTCAACCTCCCACACATTAGTCCTACAATATTTAAAATGAATATAAGCAAACTCAATGGGGAAAAAGTACTATAAAATAATTCAAATTTAAAGCAGAGGGTCTCACACATCCTTCTTCTAAAGGGAGGGGGGGAAAAAAAACTTGGTTTAATTTAAAGAGTTTCTCTCCTTCATAGAACAAAAAGTGTTCTGGATAAAAGAGGCAGTCTCAGTGGTTCAGGTAACCTTTATGTTGTCGTCTCACTTGATTCATGGTTGCTATTTAGACCCAGACTTTAGGGGGCTCCCAGGTTCCTCTTCTGACTTTGGAATATAATTAAGAGTATCCTGGGCGTACTTTGAGTCAGAACCAAAGGCTCGTAGCCGCCGTTGGAACGGACGATGTGGGAACCAGACGTCCAGACATTCTCAGGGGAACCATTTCATAGGTCCAAGGTGGGCCTCACCTGGTGCCTTTCAACTCCATTACTTCAAACATAGCATTCTAACAAACTATCATCGAATCACATTCCATGCCAGCAAGTGGCGGTAATGCTACTAAATGCTACTAAAAGTTTGTTGCCAACTGCCAGTAAAACCAAAAGAAGAAGAAGAAGAACAAAATATCATGAGACATAAAAGTGTCTCAGCTACAAACAATAACGTTTCATCTTTGAGATTGATGGCCATTCGGAGACTGGTATGTCACCAATATCACTATCATTTTGAAGAAGAGCTCCTGATTCCTCCAACAATATTTTGTCTTGTGGGGATGGCATTGCTCATGCCATTGAGAAAAAAAATAAATAAACAAAAAAAGGGCATTGTTCATGGTTACCTATACTTTGCCCAGAGCAGATAATTGTTGGTGTCAGGTAAGAATTGCATGGATAATTTGTCTCCAAATTTTAGGTCAATCCTGTCTGTTCATATTCACACTGAGTGATATAATCAAGTAAAGAGATCAGCCCCAGAAAATGTTCTGAAAATATTCTCAGTTGCACAAGATGTTAATTGCTTAGAACTTATGGTTTTGTAATTAAATGAAAAGTCCTCAGGGTGTTTCACATGATTGTATGTGCAGCTGTTTCAGCTTGCCTATGAAAGTTGGAATTTGTTCCTCTGGCAACTTACTAGTTTATTCATGTTCACATAAATTGACAGTCTTCCCACAGTCCAAAAACATGAGTTTCAGGTTAATTGGTCTCTCTAAATTCTCCTTAGGTGTGTGTGTGTGTGTGTGTGTGTGTGTGTGTGTGTGTGTGTGTGTGAGTGTGTGTGTGCATGGTTGTTTGTCCTGTCTGTCTCTGTGTTGCCCTGCGACAGACTGGCAACCTGTCCAGGGTGTACCCTGCCTCTCACCCAAAATGTTCTCTGGAGATAGGCGCCAGCACCCCTGCAGACCTCGCTAGGGATAAGGGTGTTAGAAAATGGATGGATGGATAACTTAACAGGGTGAAGCCATTAGAAAGACAGATGCTTCACCTTTATTCAGCTAAAGGTAAGGAGGCACGCACTGAAAAAAGAAATTACTTGAACCAACTTAATTGAGTGGCTTCAATTAGTGACACGAAATTCAATTAAGTTTATCCAACTCAAGTTATTATGTCTATCCAGCTCAACTGATTAAGCTTATAGAATTTACTTTAATTTATTAAATTTGTCAAACTAAAATTATGTTTCTTTTTCATCTTTTTTCATTAAGTGTTTAAAAGGACAGATTCAAGTCTGTTTTAATCAAATCATTTAGTTTACTTCTAATAAACTAATGAAGGATCTCTTTTTTCTTTCTTTGGTTGTTTTAACAGGGTTTTTTTTTTTTTTTGGCTCAGTCGGCCTTTAATTATGAAGCTAAGATCACCAGGCCAGGAATCGAACCTGTGACGGCCAGTCCAGGAGGATTAGTGAAGCACAGATTTGTTTCTGCCTCATCACTCTGACCTGTTCTATACTTTTTACAGGAAAATCAGCATCTGTTACACTGACACCAGTCCTGGTGTGTGTAACACATGCAACAATAACAATCTTTAATATGTTTTGTGGAGATGTTGGCATCAGCGCCGCCGGCCCAAGCCTCCATGGGGACGAAGCGGAATTTTATTTTGGGGCCCTCCATATCTGCTATGAATGTGAACTGCTGCAAATCAACAGATGATTAAATAATATGAACAGCTGCTATAAACTCATTGTATCTCTGAATAGTGCTGCTTATGTTATATCTTACATGCATATCATCTAGTGGTGGCAAAAGCAACAAAAAAAACTAGCATGCTCTGTCCATAATATCAATAATCTAACCGTATTCATGTTTATGGTTCTAACCTTCATGTTGTGATGGTGGAACTCTCATTTACTACAGAGGAGAGCTGAGCAGGATGTTAGAACTAAAGCATGGTGGAATGTTTTGGGCATTATACTGATTTAACCCAACCACGGTTACCCATATGATTAGTATAGCCCTTTAAAATAAAGCTTACTGAAAATGTCAAAATAAAAGCCTAAATATTCCTCTCAGGGTAGTGCACCGCCTTAGGGGCCTTAGGCAGAACTAACAATAGGCGGTGCACTAACATTAGCATTTATTATCTTTTTCTCTCAGGTTAGTGCATTAACATTAGCACAAACATTAGCAGTGCCCTGCCCCCCACTAGTGCACATTAGCCTTTTACCTAAAATAAGCTTTTAGCTATTTTGTCTTACTTATTAGCCATGTTTAGTACACTGAATGGAAGAAGTCAATGTCAGACAACATGCTAGTGATTCCCCACATGCTACCGACAGCATTTAGGCTAACATTAGCATTTTGGCTAATTTGAGCTTATACGCTAATTGCAACATACTGAAAGGCATAAGTCCATGTTACTCAATATGCCTGTGATCCTCCACATGCTCTTGAGCACAATGCAGCTTTCTTTAGCATTGATGCTAATTTTTAGCATCAGAATGCTGGTTTCCAACTGACGGGCAC